TATTTCATATTTATTTAGCTATATGTGCTTGTAATTTACTTCTTTTTCTTAATTTTAATAACAAAAATAAAATAAAAATAGCTATATCGAGGTACATATCGTTATCGTGAAATACAATTTCTCATACCGTGAAATAAGATTTTGGTCATATCGCCCACCCCTAATTAATACACGATTACGATAGTATATGGTTTGTACAGGGCTCCAGACTGCGACTTGTGAGCGGTCGCACTGGCGCGACCACCGCGTTGTCCAACTCGTTAGCGCTGCCATTTCTGTTGCATTTCAGAAACATCAAACGGCAAATGAAACGAAAGCGAAACTAAAATGCGCTACGTTTCAGCTGCGCAGCGCGGACCGTTTATCAGCTCGAACCGCGACGCAAACAAACTTGTCCGAGCTCAGAACAGCTTTACTCGGGAGCCAAAGTTGATTTCGCGACACTGTTACTGCACAGATGCACAGTACTGCGAGATCCAGTGAGAAGCGTTTGAATTCGCCACACAATGATAAGGTCAGCACTGTATTTCACACACACACACACACACACACACACACACACACGCACGTGCAAATGCGGAGCCTGTAGCCGGTGAAGGAGTCTCCAACCACAAACACAGGTATGATATAAGGTATTTCGTTGCACTTTAACAATTAATCTGAATGGCTTATATATGTGCAATATTTTAACCGAACCCTCACTAACTGAGTTTAATGCCACAGTTATGTTAGAACGCATCTCATCCTTGTTTCTGTGGCGGTGCGTCGGGCTCGTCATGGGGCGCGCGGTCAGGAACGCTGTATGACTGATGTATCTGTTTAATTTAAATTTACTCCAAATATATGAACTTACCTGTTTTAAATACTTAAGCTCCCTCTCTCAATAGCCTATGACAAGTACAGCGAGTCTCTCTCTTGCCCCCACCCACCCATGCACGATAATATCGTCTATCTGCGATCTCACGGACTGGCAATATGACGATTTGAAAAATGACCATATCGCCCAACACTAATAAGGTTGCTGCGAGATCTAGTGACGTGACGTGACATGGTGACCCATACTTGGAATTAGTGCTCTGCATTTAACCCATCCACAGCAGTGCACACCCACACACCGTGAACACACACCCGGAGCAGTGGGCAGCCATTTATGCTGCGGCGCCCGGGGAGCAGTTGGGGGTTCGGTGCCTTGCTCAAGGGCACCTCAATCGTGGTATTGAAGGTGGGAGAGCGCGCTGTACATTCACTCCCCCCCACCTACAATCCCTGCCGGTACGAGACTCGAACCCGCAACCTTTGGGTTACGAGTCCGACTCTCTAACCATTGGGCCACGACTTCCCCTAGTGAGAATCATTCAAATTCTGCACAGAATTCTCTGTTATGAACAGCGCTGACATACCAGAAACCAGAAGCGGTAACGCTAACTATAACCGTGGTGTTGTGGTAGAAATAGTCGAATGCATTACATCATTCATTACAATGTTAAAAAAAGATTTATTATTTATCAGTAGACTGCAGCAGAGGAGCACTTACTGGCTTATTAGTCATTAATTTCTACTTTTTTCCTATATTTTGAAATGGTAAAATCACTATTATAAAATATCAAATCATCAAGAAATCAGTTTTTGTCAGAATTTTACACTTTTTTTGTGTAGAACTTAGTGGCGCTGGTGCCACTGCTCTCAAATGTTAGTCTGGAGCCCTGTTTGTATGTGATTTTCATGAGATTAGAGGTATTTTCATAATAAAGAATGTTTACATGAGAAGTGCTAAGTATAAGTACTTATTAGCAGAGTATAAAAGGCTTCAAATAACTTATGTCAACAACATTATATGACCAAAATCCACAATAGATATTAATCTGAGGTTATTACAAACACTTGTTGGTGGTTTGAAATGAAATTTGAGTAAAAGTGTAGTAATAATTTTAGAAAGTCTTTTTATAGCTTGATGCTAATGTTAGCTCTAATGCACCGATTACCCTGCTGCGATTAAATTTCATGATGCATTCTATCAGAAGAATTCACTTGAGGTTGTAAGAAAATGTTTTGTTTTCTAGAAAGACACTTTATAATAAGTGGGTAAATGTATATTGGATCAAAGTGATGTGCTTGGACCGGGACACTATAAGAAGTGAATAAAGATGCAAAAGGGCTGTTATGCTGTTTTAAATTTAATGTTCAACAGTTTTGTTTTTGTAAAATTTAACTTGATAATTGTCATTTTCTTCAATCATCTGCTTATTAGAACACCTCAAATATGTTGCGTGTAAAAAGTCTTTGTTTCAGCCAGTTGAAGGGTGGGAGCAATGTGTGCACATGATCAGGATGGTACCACCTCCGCTTCATTTTGAGCCAGGAAAAGCTGTGTAAACTGTGCAAAATCTTTCTAGCTCATTCTCTCTGTTGGCAGATCAGATAAGATCATCAGATAAGATGCTAGAGGTAGTCAGATTTCTGTAACTCTGATTTGTGAAGTCTTAGTTCTGCCGCGACACAAAGAGTGAAGAGACATTAAATGGTCTCTTATGGTTGAAGTATACAACAGTATTGTGTTTAACCTAGTTCTGATTGGATCTCTTGGCTAGGAGAAGTGTGTGTAAGGGTTTGGTTTTCTTCCTTAGAGTCCCACCCTTGAGTATGTATGTGTGTGGACCTGAGTCAGAGGAAAATGAACCCAATAAATCACACTGTCCTCTCTCCTCCCTGCCTTACACACATACACTCATACATCTAAACCTTAGAAACACCCTCATATGTGCACTGACCTTTTTTCTCCTAGCCATTTCATTCTGCAGCCAGTCAAGAACGCCATATGAACACTTCCAGTCTAATACCCACAGCGTCTTTCTTCACAGCTACTGCCATAATAGCCTATTGGATTGATACAATCACATGTTCGAAACCATAGTAGCAATCTTCATGTTTGTACTGTCGCTTTGGCTGTAATGTTGCACAACTTCTGTATCGCTATATGCGTTCAGCTCCTTTTGAGGAGAACATTTTCCACACATCTGTCTCCTTGCATTCACATGTATCTGTTTGTTTGTGCGCTATGTGTGTGGTGTATGATGCATACTGCATCGTGGGTGGGGTCTTTCTTGGACACACACTGAAAGATTAATGGTGCCCCAGAAGCAAATGTCAGATGGTGTGGCTTAGAATAAGCATCAACACATGCTTTTATGCCCACACCCTGACAATAAAACCACATCTAGTCCCACACATTCACTGTGGTCATGCCCACTGTAGCCTCTTTGATCATCAAAACGTTGAGCCACTATTTGTATCAGTAAGAATCTTTTTGGGCTTTTTGATGGCACTCATTAGCCGCTTTTCCACTGTCGGGCCAGTGCGAGCCAGTGCTTTAAACAGGCCGGGCAGGGCTAATAGCCTCGGACCTGTAGCACCGAGGCCAAAATCAAGCTGCGTTTCCACCGTCGGGCCAGAAGCTCCGCTGCGCTTTACTACACACCTCTCAGGAACAACGTCACGCAACCCCCATCAAATTTCTATATTTTTATAAAAGCTCCCGAACAAAAAACATTATTATATTTTTATGACATACGCGGAGATAAACTCTCGAGGCGAGACTTATGACAGATAAAATATGTAACTAAATAAATACACGATTGTGATAGAGAATAAGAAGCTGACGTCTGATTTCTTCAAGCGGTCGTATTTACTATGTTACTATGGTAACGTTAATGGCTAGCGTGCAGTCTTTTGCATCGCTTATAAATATTTCTGCCTTGTATGGTGATCATAATCCACATCGGATCAAGTTATTTCAAACACTCGCTGCTGTCTGAAAGTGAGTTTTGAACTAAAATAATTTTTTAAGTCTTTAATGCTGGTGCTATCTGTTAACTTTATGAAATGATCCGCGGCGCTGACGCTCTCCAGACGTGGAGAAACTCCGCCTTTGTTCATAACCACTCCTTTAGCCCTAGCTGGCCCGCTTTGGCCCAAGGTTTTCGTCGGGCCAAAAAACCAGGGCCGTTGGCCCCGAGGACCGACAGTGGAAACACGGCTATTGACTGACCTCAGAGAGCTTTGCAAATGCCTTAAAATTGCCATTGAGTGATACCACTTTTCGTGGTACAATTTATGTTTAGCAAATGTTAAAAAATAGCTCTTGTTTTTTCACAAGGAATTTTGAGTGTTTTGGGTGTAACTTACCTTTTGTAACATTTTACAGTTTGTAACATTTATACACTACTGGTCAAAAGTTTGGAATAATTGAGATTTTTAATGTTTTTAAAAGAAGATTATACTCAATGCTGTATTTATTTGAGAAAAATAACTGATAAAATTGATCATTTGAAAAATAAAAAATGAATGATTGAGCAGGAAATCATCATATTAGAATGATTTCTGAAGGATAATGTGACATTGAAGACCACTGAAAATTCTGCTTTGCATCACAGGAATACATTCCATTTTAAAATGAGTTATTAGAAAAGTTATTTGTAAATTGTAATAATATTTCACAATATTACTCTTTTTTTATTTTTATTTTTTAATTAATTAATTTATTTTTACTGTATTTTCGATCAAATACATGCAGCCTTGGTGAGCATAGCAGACTTCATTCAAAAACATAAAAAAAAAAAAAACTTCATTATTCCAAACATTTGAACCAGAATGTAAAAGTCAGTGTATTTGCTTCAGGCTTTGCTAAATCTGTCTCTGTCGAAAGTTATTAGTAGTGTCCTCAGCTCAGAGCTGAAGGAAGCAGGCCATAATACGGTTCATAAAGGGCGATTAATTCATCCATCCTGTCCTCAACGGAGCTCATTTACACAATATTCAGACCTCTTTTGTTTCACTGTATCATTTGGTACTGCTTGTCCAATAACTCTGTCTTATTTGCTCTTTTTCTCTGTTTTTCCTCTCTCAGCCTGTGGCAGAGCCCATACCCATCTGTAGTTTCTGTTTGGGGACCAAGGAACAGAACCGCGACAAGAAGCCCGAAGAACTCATCTCCTGTGCAGACTGTGGAAACAGTGGTAAGGAAGTGGTGAAAGTTCATTCGACTTTAAATATTTTTATTAATCATTTATTCATTTAAAAGTGTAATACATAAGTCAAGCCTGTTGGCCAAATTCATGTTCCCTGCTTGCCCTTAAAGTCATGAAATGTTTCAAAAGTTTTATCAAGATGTGTTCAAAATGTAAAGAAATGCTTATATTACTTCACTGGCCATCGGAGCGAACCAACCCCGTGACGTCACACGCGGTGGTACTGCAAGATGGCGGCGCCCTTGCTCTAAAAGCTATAACAAAATATAATTTTTTCTTTAAAATGGTTACATTAATCATGTTTGTTATATATTTTTTAATCAAAATGGAAATCACTTTACTAAATAATGTTAACTTAACTGACTGCTTCACTTCCACTTTAAGGTTATAAAAATGTAGTAAATGCTACAACAAAAGTCTTTAAAGTCAAGATGTGGCATGTGGTAATGCTGCACATTCTGCAGTCTCTTTGCAAACCGTGAATACTGCACATTTATGCCAAACAGTTGCTTATGATCAACTGTTAATTCATTATGACTCTATTTACTTGGTTTTCATATTGTAATATGTTGTAGATGGTTGTAAGAGTGCATATTTTTGTACTCCTCTTTTTTGAATGAGCAGCTGGAAGTAGTAAAGTATAGAAATTTCAAAATAAGACTCCCAGTGTATATTGGGCTTGTTTATAATTAAAAGTCCCGCATTATGCATAAAATCTTTCTGGTTGTTATTGGTATTCTGGTTACACAATAAACTCTATCTGGCATTTAATCTCTTGTGGCTTCTCTTTGGGCTGCTCCGTTTCAGGAAGGAAAAATGAAAAACATTACCACATTCAATAGATTTTAGGGGTGTAAAGTAGGGCTGTGCGATTTGGGGGAAAATATCAAATTGCGATTTTTTTTTGACAGATATTGCGATTTGCGATTTGATTTGCGATTTTAAATTTGCAAAGTCAAGCTTCAGCTCAATATTGCCAATAATGTGCAGCACAGTATGGGTATCATTACCCTGCTGAAAAAAACAATAGAAACACAGAAATTCTTATAGTTTCCATTAAACCATTACAAAATTCCTTTTTGTTTTGGGCATTATTCCAATAGGAATTACTGTTGTTCTATTGGTTGCCATCTGCCAGATTACAGCCCACCAATAGAATCCATCAAATAGACACCATTATAGTTTACATTAAAACCAAACAAATTCCCATTATAACCCTGAAATCCATAAAAAATTTTTATTGTGTTTTGGGAGGGGTTCTATGGGTTTTTTGTTTTTTTTTTCAGCAGGAAAGATTATAATGGTATAACTACTTTTACAGAATTAACTTAATTACTGAATTTCACAGAAAATGTTTATTTTTTATAAATAAAGAACTGTATTTCTTAAGTCAATTATTAAAGTATTACATATGTTACATAGGCTGATTTAGTCATTTTAAGTATTTGGGATTTTAAGAACAAGTGGAAAATGTGCTGAATGTTTCATTTCATCCAAGTGAAATTAGCAAGCAGTTAGACTGAATTTACATTCGTTTTAAACGCGGAGCCAGGCGCGAGTCGACACAGGTTGCGCCAAGCCTCATCCATACTGCCAGATGCGCTCGTGAAGACTTGCGGTGCGGAGCCGGGTGCGAGTATAAACGAGCATTACGAGACAGGCTGCGTGAGTGCGGCAAGCGTGAACGGCTCGTCCGTGACGAGGGATTCGCGCCGCGTGGGGCAGAGAGGAGCGAGTATGAGAAGCATTCACAGACACAGGCTGTGTGTGCGCTCTTCTGAATTGGGAATAGCCAACATGCATTATAAACTTATTTCAAATTAATCTGTTGGGGAGACAAAATGTGTAAGATAACGTTCACGTACTAACAAAAACATCTAAGAATGTATCTTTTATTCTCCAGTACTGAAAACAGAACCGATACGGGAGCTTTTGATATGCGCTGTGACGCAGCTCTTTTTTTACTCTTTTGTTCGTTGTCTGTCATTTCGAAGCTTAAGTTGCATACGGTTTTCTTTAGTTTTAATTTGCCTAACTATCGATCTGACCCAGTAGACGCCATAATCCCACTCTGTCTCTCTCCCGCTTTCCGTTTTTTTTGTTTTTTTTTTATAAATGGTGGGTGTTTACGCAGTTGGCTAGAGCAGTGCTGATTGGGGAGAACGGAGGGGCGCTCACTCTTGCCCAGGGCAAGTAAGACTGCAACTCAAGTCTGGCAGTCATGCATATGCTCTGGAACAGAGTAATATCGCGTCCATATCGCAGGCTTTGCGATTAGGAAATTGCAACGTCTCAAATCGCGATTTCGATTCGATTTCGATTAATCGCACAGCCCTAGTGTAAAGGTACATGTACGGTTTGGACATCACGGTTCGGTTCATGCAGTCAGACGACGAATACAGTCAGTAATAGGCCATCACTCCAGAAGGGGGCGCACATAGTATTGCAGCGCTAACCGTCACAACAGGAAAGAGCAGAAGAAGAGACAGCTGCTCCATGTGAAAGCCCGCAGGTGATGGAGATTTACCGCTGATTAAAGAACCGGCTTTACTGACAATATGCGCGTTAAATATCGCATGCGATTTATCGTGCAGCCCTAATCTACACACTAACCCAAAACAGGAATGGCAAGTTCAGATGTCACACAAGTGCTCGAAGAACCACCTGCTTGTTTGAAATCAGCAGTGTGGGAAAGTTTCGAGTTCTAGAGATGCACTGGTCAACCGGCTATAAATTGGAACCGGTTTGTAGTTTTATTTTGGCCGATCGCTATTCCAGAATTGCACACAAACTGCATTGCAATCATTTCACAAAATGTAATTTGTGTGGAATTTTTATGAAACTGTTATTCCGTAAGCACCACCTACTGTCAGAGAATAAATGTGCATTTTCTTTCAGTCCGTCTGCCGTTTTTGATTTGTGCAGGTGTCTTGTATAGCATAATTTCACAAATCTAAAGTCAGACCATTCTGTTTTTGCTTTAAATCTTGAAATTATACAATCTAATTCAAATCAAAAACAACTGCTCATGCTACATGGATGTAGTACTACTAATAAATGAAAAACTACATTTCCCGTTGTACCGAATTTGTATTGAACCGTAACCCCAAAACTGAGGTACATACCAAACCGTGACTTCTGTATACTGTTACACCCCTAATAGATTAACAAATATCTGCCAAATAATCTTTTTTTTTTTTGCTTTTCTTTAAACTCAGTTTACATATGTATGTATTGAATAAAACATGTTTAATTAAGTGAAACGGTCAGAAATGCATGAATTATTATTGGTTTGTTCTGTATGGGCATAAGATACATTTAAATTGTGAAAGTATTAAAGGTTCTAAAAAGTCTTAAATTAGATTTAAGATAAGAGTAGAAAAGTTGTTTTATTAAAGAGTGGAATGGCACTGTCTGTCTTTTCATCAGGATGAGACTTTATTCTAGTTATTTAAGGTTGTCTCATTCTGTCTTCTCAGGGCACCCATCCTGTCTGAAATTCTCTCCAGAGCTCACAGCACGGGTCAAAGCTCTGTGGTGGCAGTGTATCGAGTGCAAAACCTGCAGCAGCTGCCAGGACCAAGGAAAAAATGCAGTAGGTTTTTTCTTCTGTGGTCTGTCTTATTGTTGCTGCCAGATCATGTTAATTTAGGCTGTCCTCATTTACACTACCATTTAAAAGTTTGGGGTTGGTAAGAGTTTTTATAATGTTTTTTTTTTTAAAGAAGTCTCTTATGCTTACCAAGGCTGCATTTATTTGATCAAAAATACAGTAAAAACAGTAATATTGCACAGTATTACTACTATTTAAAATGACTGTTTTGTATTTTATTGTTTTAAAATGTATCTTTTTCCTGTGATGATACGACTGAATATTCAGCAGCCATTACACGAGTCTTCAGTCTCACAGGACACAGAAATCATTCTAATATGATGATTTGGTTCTTAAGAAACATTTCTTATTATTATTATTAATTTTGAAAACAGTTGTGTTGTCTAATATATTAGTGGAAACTGTGATTTTCTTTTTTGATTTTTGAATAAATATTAAGTTCAGAAGAACAGCACTTCGATCAATTTAATGTATTTAATGTAAAAGTATTCATTTCTTTCAAAAAATCTTACTGGACGTTTGAAGGGTAGTGCATATGCTTACATTGTGCACTTCAGACATGTACTGGTTACGGGGACATACTTTTCGGTGTGTAGTACATAGGGCTGGGCGATAATTCAATAACGATAATTATCGCGATATAATTTTCCTCAATAAAACGATATGAAGAGTTCGATAAATGTTCGATATAATGTTTATGCGGCAAAAGCGGAATGAAACCGCGCGACTCATTTGAAGCACGCCACTCGGACCATTTATCCGCTCGGATTATAGTTCGAACTGCCACGTGGCGCGAGCTCGGTCACGCGAGCACTAAACAGCGCTGTGAGATCCAGTGCTTGAATTCAGCGATGAACACAAATGACTCCGTAAACTAGATTAAAGCCAAACAGGACAACACTGTGTGCAACGAGACAGTCAGAAGGCTTTTCAATCTACACATCACCATCATTTACCATGGATTTACTGTAGTAACACTCACTGCACCAA